ATCCATCATTTCTTCTCTGTCCTCACTGTGTCTAACCTGCATTCTCTGTAGCTTTCATTACCCTCCAGGAGTCTTTGGTTGCAGCTTCTAGTAACAATAATTATTCGGTTATCAGTAGGTCCAGAATCTTTCTCTGGAAGCACCTCTGGCCTCAGTGACTAAAAAATAATTGTGCTAGAGTTTCACAAAAACTGGCAAAGCCAGTTTTTGGTAATAGTGTTAACATGATGAAGGTACATTTAGACCCCTGAGCCTTTTTCTGATTAAAAGACTCCTATGAGTTTCAAGTCAAGGCTAAATGAAACTAAAAAGACTCCTATAGAAGTTGTGCTAATTTCAAAACTGTATGAGCCTCTTGTTCTTGCAGACATGAGTTGCAGCCATTGTTCCCTTGAAAAGACTGGAGATTAGGAAACAACGGTTTTCTAACTGCTCAGTCAGGCACTCTGAATACCAGTAAGAAACCCTCTTGCTGAAGTTGGGAGAAATAATCTTGCTTACCTAGAGGCCTTTGGTGTAGGTAAGAAGGCTCTGTGTCAATTTCCGATCAGTATCAACTTCTCATAAGGGATACAGTAAAGGCCATAAGAACCAGAGCCATACTTATGTTTAAGTAATAGACCTTGAAAGGCAGTACCATCTGGGAATTGGAAACACACCAAACTGAGTGAGCAATTCATTCTGGAAATCATGTTAAAAATTCCAGGGAAGATACCCCATATACTTTGAAGTGATTATTACACATGGCATGCCTGCATCAAACCATTTCGTAGGCCAGGTGCAGTGGCTCACGCCTGTAATCCTAGCACTTTGGGAGGCCGAGTTGGATAGATCACCTGAGGTGAGGAGTTTGAGACCAGCCTGGCCAACATGGCAAAACCCTGAATCTACTAAAAATACTAAATTAGCTGGATGTGGTGGCACACACCTGTAATCCCAGCTACTTGGGAGGCTGGGGCAGGAGAATCACTTTAACCCAGGAGGTGGAGGTTGCAGTGAGCGGAGATCACGCCACTGCAATCCAGCCTGCGTGATGGGAGTGAGACTCCATCTCAAAAAAAAAAAACCATTTCATGTACCATATAAATATACACACCTATTATATACCCATAAAAATTAAAAAATTAAAAATATAACAGTAACATTTTAATGAAGTCTTCAAAAACAACTTTATTATTTTTGTTTCATAACCAATTATACTCCCCAAAACATATTGAGTATCTTTCCATTTCAATATAGAGCCACATCACCATAAAAAAAAATCACTAGGGAAAAGATACAGACTTAAAAGTTGGGGCTGGGAACAGTGCCTCACACCTGTAATCCCAGCACTTTGGGAGGCCAAGGCAGGTAGATCATGATGTCAGGAGTTTGAGACCAGTCTGGCCAATATGGCAAAACCCCGCCTCTACTAAAAATACAAAAATTAGCCAGGCATGGTGGCCTGTGCCTGTAGTCCCAGCTACTCTGGGAGAATGCTGAGGCAGAATAGTTGCTTGAACTCGTGAGGTAGAGGTTGGAATGAGCTGAGATTGTGCCACTGTACTCCAGCCTGAGTCACAGAGCAGACTCTGCCTCAAAAAAAAAAAAAAAAAGAAAAAGAAAAAGAAAAATTAGGCTAGGTGTGGTGGCTCGTGCCTGTAATCCCAGCACTCTGGGAGGCTGAAGTGGGTGGATCGCTGGGGCCAGGAGTTTGAGACCAGCCTGGCCAACATGGTGAAACCACATCTCTACTAAAAATACAAAAACTAATTGGGTGGGGGAGTGTGTGCCTGTCATCCCAGCTAGTCTGGTGGCTGAGGCACAAAAATCACTTGAACCTAGGAAGCAGAAGTTGCAGTGAACGGAAATCACACACTGCACTCCAGCCTAGGCAACAGAGTGAGACTCTATCTCAAAAAATAAATAAATTAAAAAGAATAAATAGAGGTGATCTTTGGGTGACAGAAATGTGGTGCCATTTTTTTCCCTGTATTTTCTAACTTTCTTTTTTTTTTTTTTTTTTTTGGAGACGGAGTTTCGCTCTTGTTACCCAGGCTGGAGTGCAATGGCGCGATCTCGGCTCACCGCAACCTCCGCCTCCTGGGTTCAAGCAATTCTCCTGCCTCAGCCTCCTGAGTAGCTGGGACTACAGGCACGCGCCACCATGCCCAGCTAATTTTTTGTAGTTTTTAGTAGAGACGGGGTTTCACCATGTTGACCAGGATGGTCTCGATCTCTTGACCTCGTGATCCACCCGCCTCGGCCTCCCAAAGTGCTGGGATTACAGGCTTGAGCCACCGCGCCCGGCCTTTTCTAACTTTCTAAAATGTACATATACTGCTTTTATAATGATGTTATTTTTAATATTTTAAAACATAATTTTCAGAGAAAGCAGATGCTTGGTTACAGAAATAATTTCAATACAAATGGGTTGTAATTGTTATTACTAGTATCATGTTAAAAACAGACATGGAAAAATTTGCAAAAAGTTGTGGATGGATTTTTAAATTTTGATGATTAAAATACGTTACTTGAACATTTGGATATACAGTCAAGCATTTGTGATTTTTTACAAAATTGAGTTAGGGATATAATGCAGTCTAATTTTTCAATCTTGGCCTATCTTGGACTTTGTATGTCATCTCTTTTTACTTTGAGGAAGATAAAGCTTTCAAGCTTCCTCCTCCTTGACCTACTTGTTTATAGTTTTGATAGCTCTTAGGGAAGATAGTCTAGGGGAAGATTGTTTCCTTTCCCATTTCAGGCATCTCTTTCTCTGGTAATCCACTGAGTTAATACCACATGCTTCATCTCAAAGCACTGAAAATTGTGTTTATTTCTGACAACAGGATTTAAAGAAGAGAGCCATGGGAGACTCTTGTTCTTGGTGAAAGAGCCAAAAATCCAGATCATGAGAATCTCAGACTAAAATGAGATATTGCTGATATAAGAATAAGCACAAACCAAGAAGGAAAAATGACTATGTGAGCACCACAGTGACTCAATAATGAACACTTCTTTGGCTTACATCTTCATACACAGGCTATTAGCTCTTCTTCAACATATACACTTTGGACTGTTCTAGCCTGTAGGGAAGTTTGTTCCTACCATTCTTCCACCTGTCCTTGAAGCACCTTTCTCCTGGGACTCCCAGGTACCCATCTTTTGTGACGCATCCCCACAAGGTCTGGCTCTTAGTTAGCTGTCAAGAGATGTCATTTGTAGGAGACATTACCAGTTTCCTATCTGACTTATTTTCCACTTCCTTTCCTTTTCATTTATAACAAAGCCCTGATTTTCTGCAGGTAGATTATCATGGAGGTTGGGTCCTTCTCTTAGTGCCAGGGGCTGATGCATGATGGGCTCCAAACAATTGTGATATTTATTTCCTTTTTCTTTTTTTGAGATGGAGTCTCGCTCTGCTGCTAGGCTGGAATGCAGTGGTGCAATTTCGGCTCATTGTAACCTCCACCTCCCAGGTTCAAGTGATTCCCCTGCCTCAGCCTCCCAAGTAGCTGAGACTACAGGTGCATGCCACCACACCTGGCTAATTTTTTGTATTTTTAGTAGAGACAGCCAGGATGGGTCTCGATTTCCTGAACTTGTGACCCACTGGCCTCAGTCTCCCAAAGTGCTGTAAAGGTGTGAGCCACCGCGCCCGGCCATATTTATTCTTGGTAATAACTAGTTTAGGATGGGTACATGACTTGACACATGTCTACGTATTTTACCTGGATTCTATTATCAACTTTACCAACATGCTAAGTGTAGCAGAGGAGACACACTGGGACCTTGATGTTGTCACTGGGCTGCTGAATTAACCAACCTGTAATTGCTTTTTGAACATGATTTTGGTGGGTTTTGTTACTTGCAGCTGAAACTATCCTATCAGATATTCCACCAAATCACACTACCTAAGTTGTCAACTCTCCTAATATCGTTTTAATAACCATGTGGTCATTCATTGAGAAAGCGTTTAGATACAGTAATGTGCCTAGCACTAGAATAAGGAAACACGCTGAAGCTCTTCAGGCTTGTCTATCAAGGTACTTATTATTTTCATCTTTTTCTTTTCCCAAACACCTTTATAAACTGTCAACTTCTTTCGCTTACATTATCTTACAATCTTTGAAATTAACCTCTTGAGTTAGCCCAGAGAGGCATTCTGAGCTGTTTGCAGATGAGGAAAGCAAAGTTGTAAACTGACCAAGATTACCAACCAGTCAGTGACAGGGCTTAGGAAGGAGCTCAATTTTCCGATTCCAAATCTCTAAAGGGCACTCTCTCTTCCTCCAACATACAATAGGAAATATCTGGCTCTCGGGCAGGCTGAATGTGAGGTATTTGGCGACGAACAACGTCCCGCGACGCAAACCTAAGGCTCTATTCCCGCGTGGGGACCCCTGTGACTCGGAAGCTGACGCAGCTCGGTTAGGTTGCAGCTGCGGGTACAATACATAATGCCCCTAGAACACTTTTGAGTCGGAGCCTAGCAACTTGGCCTACAGCGATCTGAACGCTGTGAACGCAGAAAAAGACATCCCTTCATGTTCCACGGCCCCACCATCCACCCAAGACACAACCGACAGCTCAAGCCCAGCCTAGGCCGGAACCACCGGCCTATTCATTCACCTCGCTCGGGCCAGAACAAAATTTCAGGCCTACAAGACACTGTTGGCCGAACCCACATTTTGTTACCGATTCTCTTTCGAGATACGGTGTCTCTCAGTCTTCTTTCTGTCCTTCTCGGAAACATTACGTCCCTCTGGGGTCACTCTAAGAATGTACTTTGGCGGGTCAACAGGCCAGGAGCTCACGGGGGAGACCCCGCCAGCGGAAGCGGAAATGCTTGCTTAATGAAAAGAAGGAAAACTACCTCTCGCAGCGGCCCATTGGCTACCGGTCCTCGGTTAAGGTATTCCATTGGTCAACACAAAAGAAGGACTGTCCCCTCGGCAGAAGTCCGACCAATTAAAGGGAAGGATGACAGATAGGGTTGAGGGCGGGTCGCTTCCGGCGGCTTTTCCTGCATCTCCTGCGTAGGAGAGCATGGGAGCGTGGGAGTTTTGCAGTGGCCGTGGCGTTCTTCGTAGTGTTTTGGTAGGGCGTCGCTTTCTGCGGCTCCAGCCTGGCGAGCGCGAGGCCTGTCATTAGCCTCGGAGCGGTAAGTGGGCCCTTTTCGAAGCCGGGCTGGGAGGAGGAGCAGTCAGCATAGGTTTTAAAGGGGGTTTCGGAGGGAATCGAGAGAGGCTGGGCGTACTGGAGGAGCTTGGCAGCAGAATTGGTCCATTTAAGGACTGTTCTCTTCCCCGCAGCTTTGTCTCGTAGTCCCTGTGGCGTCTGGAACAAGGCATTCCCCACCCCCCAAATGGCGTCCGTGCCCCCGACGCCCGAGGCCCAGGTGAGTCGAGGAACCATTGTCGTACAAGTTCATCCCTGCTTTCGGTCTTCGCCTGACCCCCTCCTTTGGAGGAGGGTTGGGCATGCCTGTTGTGGTGGGAGTGCGCTCGAGCCCCAAATAACCATTTCACCAAGCGTTCTTCATTCCAAGACCAGGCACATAGGAGAAGTGATTTACCGAGTTCCTTCTTTGACAACTACCAACTGGGAGCAGGGCCCTGTGGAGGACTCTAAGAGAATTTCTCACTGTCTTTCTGTTTATCTTGTCTTTTTAGAGACAGGGTCTCACCTTGTCGCCCAGGCTGGAGTGCAGTGCTGAGATCATAGGTCCGTTTGGAACTCAGGGGATCCTCGAGCCTCAGCCTCCGCCTCTGGAGTAGCTAGGACTGTAGGCGCGCGTACCACAGTGTCTGATTAATTTTAAAAATTCTGTGTCGGCTGGGCGCAGTGGCTCACGCTTGTAATCCCATCACTTTAGGAATCCGAGGCGGGCGGGTTACAAGGTCAGGAGTTTGAGACTAGCCTGGCCAACACAGTGTAATCCCGTCTCTACTAAAAATACAAAAATTAGCTGGGCGTGATGGCGGGCGCCTGTAATCCCAGTTTGCTCAGGAGGCTGAGGCAGGAGAATCGCCTGAACCCGGGAGGAGGGGGTTGCAGTGAGCCGAGATTGCGCCACTGCATTCCAGCCTGGGTGAGGGAGTGAGACTCAGTCTCAGAAAAAAAAAAAAAATTATCTGTGGAGACTGTGTCTTGCTGCTTTGCCAGGAACTCCTGGCCTCCAGCTATCCTTCCACCTCGGCCTCCCAAAGTGCTAGGATTACAAGCATGAGCGACTGTGCTCTGCCTCAAAGTGGCTTTGGAATGTTTCCCCAAATTACAGATTTGGTACTTCTCCAATTTGAATGAATTTTTAAATTAAGCACATTTCTAGACTCCACAATTGTTAAGTAATAATAAATCCCAGGTGATTCTTAATCACACCATTAAAGAAGGTGGTGGGGTAAGGCCTTAATGAAGTGTTGGAGTGAGTTTAGGGGATGAAAGGAAATAGCAAAGGGAAGGATGTTGGGAGAATCCTGCAACCTTTATCTCTTTATGATTCTTCCTGGGCTGCCCAACCTTTTCCCTTTTTAAAATTTTTTTTTGAGATGGAGTCTCACTGCAACGCCCAGGCTGGAGGAATGCAATGGCGCAATTTTGACTCACTGCAATCTCCGCCTCCCAGATTCAAACGATTCTCTTGCCCCAGCGACCCGAGTAGCTGGGACTACAGGCACGTGCCACCACGCCTGGCTATTTTTCTTTTGAGACGGAGTCTCCCTCTGTCGCCCAGGATGGAGTGCAGTGGTGCAATCTAGGCTCACTGCAACCTGCGCTTCCTGAGTTCAATCGATTCTCCTGCCTCAGCCTCCTAAGTAGCTGGGATTACAGGCATTCGCTACCACACCTGGCTAATTTTTTGTATTTAGTGGAGACCGGGTTTCACCATGTTGGTCAGTCTGGTCTCAATCTCCTGACCTCAGGTGATCCACTCGCCTCTGCCTCCTGCTGGGGTTACAGACCTAAGCCACTGTGCCAGGCCTTAATTTTTGTATTTTTAGTAGAGACGGGATTTCTACCATATTGGCCGGGCTCGCCTCGAACTCCTGACCTCAAGTGATCTGCCCCCATCTCAGCCTCCCAAAGTGATGGGATTACAGGCATGAGCCACTGCACTTGGCCCCAACCTTCTTTTCTTAGAGCATCCTTTCTGCCCCCTTGGGAGAACGCTGACCAATGAAAGGAAGGATGGTGACCAATCAAAAGGAAGAATGGTTTCCCTCCCTAAGAGCTGTTCCCTCATCTTTTCTCTCTTCCTGGATAGACTATAATTCTCACAGTACACCCCGTCCTTAAACCACTGCCTCAAAATTTATGTGTATGTTAACTCTCTTCTTTCCAACCCTCACCCCACCCCTTAGAACTGGTTTACCCAACTCCAGCACTCAAGAACCTTATACACTAAGCCCTTTTCGTGAGTCTGATGTTTCTAGCTCTTCTCATTCTTCCTAGGCTAAGTGAGGGGCTGACCCTCCAGCCACTTGTACTGACACAGGCTCTTATGTTTCAGGGACCAATGCTGTTTGAGGATCTGGCTGTGTATTTTTCTCAAGAGGAGTGTGTGACTCTGCACCCTGCCCAGAGGTCCCTCAGCAGAGATGCCACACAGGAGTGTTTGGAGGATGCAGCCTTGATGGGTAAGACAATTATTTTTCCTGTATCTGGAACTTTTATCAATTCTGGGACATCATGCTTTATCTATATGTTGATGTGGTGGAGTGGGACCTGTCCCTGAGTAATTTCTGTGGAGATGATAATTGTATGAGAGAAAAAGTTTTAAAATGTGAAATGATTTCTTAAAGACAAAAATTCAGTCTAGTACAGTGACTGTGGTTTAGTGCAAGAGATGGTGGTATTTTGTAATCGTCCACAAATGTTTGTTGCAGGTAGTTTACAGTTTTACTTGGAAAATCCCATTAGTATAAATCACTATCATTTGCTAAAGACTGGAAATTGATTTACTCTTAGGGGATGCTATGCCTTTCTCACCTAAGAGGAAACATACATAGATGGACTCCTGTGCCTAAGCAGATTTTATTTCTGACTAGGATTGAGTATCTAAACTATTCTAAACTATTTATTCTACTTATTTATTCTAAGTAGTTGTTATAGTTATTCTAAATACTTTGGGATAGGTTAGATACTTAATCCTAGTCAGAAATAAAAGAATAACTAGAATAGGCTCAGCGCGGTGGCTCAGGCCTATAATCCCAGCACTTTCGGAGGCCGAGGTGGGTGGATCATCTGAGGTTGGGAGTTCGAGACCAGTGTGGTCATCATGGAGAAACCCTGTCTCTACTAAAAATACAAAATTAGCTGGGTGTGGTGGCGCATGCCTGTAATCCCAGCTACTCAGGAGGCTGAGGCAGGAGGATCTCTTGAACCTTGGAGGTGGAGGTTGCAGTGAGCTGACATCATGCCATTGCACTCCAGCCTGGGCAACAAGAGCAAAACTCTGTCTCAAAAAAAAAAAAAAAGCAACAAAAAGAATAACTACTTATTCTAAATAACTCATATTTTCTGTCTTCCACTTCTCTCTTCATGTTCATGTTGTCTTCTATCTGCTTAAACATATGGAATATATTTATAATATAATTTAAATATATTTATAATATATTTAAACTTTTTTTGTTTACTAGTTTTATCATTGATGTCATTTCTGGGTCTGTTTCTATCGATTGATTTTTCTTCTAGTTACGGGTTACATTTTCAGTTTTTTCTTTACTTGCTTGGTAAATTTTGGTTGGATGTTAGATTGAGAATTTTATGTTGTTGGATACTGGATTGCATTGTGGTTTTTTTTTTTTTTTTTTTTTTTTTT